AGTCCATTCTATGCATGATCATTTTCAAAGTTGAACCGTAGACGTGGTACATTCCCAAACGTTTCGCCAGCATCGTAGTCGGCATCGTCAGTGAGTATCGCCAGCGAAACATCTGGGAATGTACCACGTCTACGGTTCAACTTTGAAAATGATCATGCATAGAATGGACTCCGGACTAAGTGCGTTCCAATAAGTCTTGTATTATCATTATTTAAATCCTTTTAGGAGACCTGATTTGACAAATAGTCTTAATCTACGATACCAATAGTCTAGATGCGTAGAGCCAGCTTAAATAAAAGCTATATACACCCTAGGTTGTATCAAGTGATGAAGGAGTTATGCTTACATTTTCTCACCATCATATGAGTAGACTTCAAGTAGCCATTGAATTTCACTGCAACTTGTTTTCCAGAAGTCATTCTCATTTGGAATAAACGGGAGGTCCGACATTGCTTCAACTGGTCTCACCAGGACTCCAACGGAAATTGAACTCGGATTGTGTAATTGCTTAGTATACATTCGATATCTTACGCCAGAGAACGCCAATGGGTCACAGAAAAGATACGACTTGCAACATTTGCTTCATCGACAATCCAACTACAAAAAAGTGATATGAGACAATCTTGACTTGCTTTGAAGCTTATGTCTGTACTGTGACCAGCCAGCACTTGTGTAAATGCGGTGTGGTGGTAGCCCCTCGAACGTATACGTTACACCACCCTGATTAGATACCTCTTGAGAGTGCTGATGAGACCAATAGAAATTCAGTAGTATCCTGAGGTCGACATTTGTGATTGTGGGAAGGTCCAAGTATCAGCAATTTAGGGGCCACTGGTAGTTTGAACATTTTAATAAACCTGAATATGGGAAAACCTTAGAACCTGCGTAAAGAAAAGCTCGAATTAAGTTAAAAATTCTTCAGCGTTACACAAGGTGCTGGGACGATGTTCCCTGGCCTGAAGCCATCTCATTAATGGCACTATTCCCACAAACCCAAAAATGCAAAAGTGCCATTTCTATTCAGGTACAAGCAAAGCCATCAGGGTCTTCATGACATACTTTGTTGGGTAGAATTTCAATTCATCTGAAATTGGATTATGAAGAGATTCGAAGGCCATTCTCAACAGAAGACGAAGGCTGATTGCCAACGTACTGCGGCCATTTGACTTTAATAAATGACATTGAATTTAAAGCAGTCGACGAGATATCTTCCTTCGCCTCGGAGGAAAACAAGCCGAGCTTTCGTCCAGCTTATAATGAGCATCATCAGAGCTGGAACTCATTCTTGTATAAGTCTAAAGTTACTACCAGACAAAATACAATTTTCGGCTCTATCTTACTTCTTATATATGCACATAACTAAAAAAATTTAGAGGTATAGAAATAGATAGATAGATATAGAATTATTTGGCCAACTCCCTTTTTATATTGGTCATTGTGCTTTTACTTGAATGTTTGTATGTGTGTGTATTAAAATATTTACGCAATACCGGCACTAAATGACAGTGAATTAAAGAGTCTAATATCAGGCTCGGCTCACCAAGGTTTGATGACCTAATAAAAATTCTCGAATAAAAGCTTAACCCGTTTTCAATTGAAATGAAGTAGGATGCCCAGTGAAATGTGTCAATCTGAACATCGGATTAAAGCCAAACGGCCGCAGTACAACGCAAAGCATTCGCCGTTTTCTGGTGAGATCGGCCTTCGAATCCCCCCATCAAGCACTTTTCTATGAAATAAAATGCTCCCCAACAATGGTATCTTAGGCGATTCATCGAAACTCAGTCACCCTTCATATTCATGGAACATTTTCTTAGGCAGATCCACTCACCGGATTAATGCGTTTCTCGCAGGCGTCGATGAGCTGTGAACAGTCGCTGCCCTCGTATCCCTGCTTGCAATGACAGTCAGCCTCATCGAGGCGAGACAACAAACATTTTTCCGTCCCCTCCTGCGAGCAAACTTGTCCGCCTACGTCACAGACGCTCACGAGCATACAAAGTTTGTTAGCATCGTCCCAAAGGAGAGGAGAAGGGCAGACGCAAGAGTAGTCGCCCTGAACGCGGTAGTATTAATAAAAAGCAAGCAGTGGGATCGAGAGAAGGGAAAGAATACAATTGACTTGTTGAAGCCTAAGAGCTGGTAATGTATGTGCAAGCATTTGAGGTGCCTTGATACTGTTCTAAAACTAAGGAATTTATGAACAGTTTTATTATTTATTACACAATCTGAAATGTGCTATAATGGCCAATCATTTAACAAACCAAAAGAGAAGCAAATTTAAACTTTCAGTCAGTGCGATCGCAAGAAAAAGTGATGCTAATAGTTGAGTGTGGCTGACAATTCTGTTTTAGCTTGAAAATCACCCTTAAAATTCATTAACCTCAAGTTTATCGTCGAATGGATGGTGTGTTGTGAAATCAAATACCATCGCTTAGTTGCAAAAAGCAAGAAAGTGGAACGCACGCAAAAAGCCTAATAAATAATTATTTGTGATTTTCTTTTTAAAAACGGCGCAGTTCAAAGTAAAATTAAAGGAGCTTTCAATATATATGTATATATGTATATATATATATATGTATTTAAATATTAATTTTAATAAATATGGCGTGAAGTAGAAATACGGCTCAAGATATTTTTAGAAATAATAATAATATCATGCACATTACGATGACCAATTAGTTTAAGATCTGTGCTAGTGTGGTCTCAACGAAAATCCTGTAGGGTGAATATTTTTGGCGATTTGAATCGCCAGTATGCTAAAACAGAGCATTGTTGGGCTTCGGCCCAACTTGGGTGTTACTTATGCTGAAATAACACATTTTTCCTGCAAACCTTTTTGAATTAAAAGGCAACATCAGAAAGATAGACTTCCGCCCGGAGATAATCTTATACTCGACACTTAGTTTTAATGAAAATTTTGGATTTAATATTAAAATAACAATTAATGTATATTAATTTATCAAGACAAGCGGTGTGTTATTATAAAGCTATGCGTTTTCGGAAGTCACCTATATCACCTCTCTAAGTTGATTTATTGCAGAAACAATAAAATTTCGTTAAGATACATTAAATTATGACTTATGTATATGGACGAAAAATACATAGTTAGCAGCAAGTTAATCTTGTTAATTTTATTTGCGCACAATTTTATTTCGATCAAAAGTTTGTGATGAAAGGATTAGAGGATGAGCCTCATAGCATACTTAGGTGTAGTTTCTTTACTCTATTTATAATTTGTTCTACTACGACGTTCAAATTGTGATAATGTTTAAAACACCAGGCAATGGTCTTGGGAAAGATTGATTAGGCTTATATTTGTCAGACTACATGAC